ATAATATAAATTTTCAAAAACAATAAAAAATTTTACTGCATATTTTAAGAGATATTAAAAACAAAACTAAAAATAAATTTTAATAATAAACCTTTTTTGATCAAATAACTACAGTTATTTTAAAACATCATAACACTATATAATTTAACAAAGTATATATATTCTATTTTAATAGTAAGATTTATATGTTTTTTATTTTAATACCTTTGGATTTTTATTTTTCTGTTTTTATGTTTGTGGAACTTAATATAACCAAAATCAAAATACTTAAGCAAATCAGAATCTTTATTTTAAAATTATTTATAATAAATTTATGTTTACCATCCAATCAATCTAAATATTGTAAATATTGATATGTGTTCATAAGCTTCCAAAATTTTATTAGTTACGTATGTAAGTAATTTAGAATCAGAAAATTTAGTTTCCATTTTTTCTTTCTAAGCACAAAAAATCTTAAGTTATACATAATCTTACTAGATATACTTATATTTTTAAAATAACAACCGACATAAATGAAAATAAGAGGATTAATCAAAAATTTAATATATTGAGGATAAAAAAAGATTATAGTTGAATTTAGAAAAATATATAGAATCTAATATATCCAAATGATAACTAAATCAACCGTAAAAACAATAAAACTGATGAAATATAACATATCTAAAATTATATATATAATTAAATTAATAGAATATTATTAATATAATTATACCTACAAGAAAAAGGAGGCATAGAGATTTCTTCTCTTATGAGATTGAGCGAGGAAATGCCAAAGCCAAGGCTCTAATATCTTTGTGAAAAAAGAAGGAAGGGGTCGATTTATAGGCTATTGATCCAAAAAATAATTAAATCGACAATAATATATTCAAATTCATATGTATAATTAGAGTAATCTAATATTTATTAATATAAATTATACATATATATTGATTCAAAACTAAAATTAAATATCAATCAATTATTATAAAATTTTACTTTTATGAATATTTATACCCGTGCATGAGCACGGAAAAATCACCTAGTTGATATTTTAGTTTAGCTGCACGATGTGGTGGTGACATCAGCAGAAACCAAAGCTGGCTCGTTGGGCTTGATGACTTTATGGAATGGTTTCAAGTGACTATACTTTGTTTCTCTTGGTAAGCTTAAACTAAAGAGAACCATATTAGCTAATCATTCGGACATATATTATCATGTTCTGAGTTTTGGTTAGTGCCGCGAAACTCACCACATGTTCTGTCGAAACTCATCCCTCCATGGTATATATCACAAGTTGAGCCAAAAACAATATGCATTCATATGTGACTCTGTTTTTTTACTTACCATAGTTCACGAATGAACCTCTGTTTTTGTAAGAATCTTGCAGTGGATTATGCAATATCTCGATCGTCTATGTGGTATAACACCTCCAAATATTCATAGTATATGCATGATGTTATAGATGAAAACACAAAAAATGAAGAAAAATTACTTTTTGAAAACACTTATTAAAAGTAAAATCAAAAATAATCAACCAATCATTAAAAACTGTAACATGTAAAATTGGTTAAATAACTTTTAATAAAATTATAGTCTCATAAATATGTTAAAACATCTTATATTTTAAAAAACACAAATCTTTTAAAACATTAAATACGATGAACCAGAGGAAGTATAATTTATGCGTATCAATCTATACTATTATTTAAGAAGTAACTAGATTTTGACCCGCGCTTTCAAGCGCAAAATTTTTTTATGATTAAAAATTTATATAATTGGGTTTTGTTTTAATTTAAAGAACATTTTGATATAAAATCAGTTCACCAAAATTTGTGGTGATGATTGTTTTTCATTAGTTTTTAGTTTCAGTTTTTATTTTTAGATTTTGGTTTTTGGTTTTTAGTTTTTAAGTTTCTACTTTTCATTTTTAGTTTTTGGTTTGGGTTTTTAATTTTTAAACCCGCTGAGTTACTTTGAACTAATATTACCAACAAACAAATCTCAAATAATCGAACATCTAATTTAAAACTGAAAAGATGATAACAAATTTTTTTAAAAAAATTTGAAATAGTTTATTTTGTAAATAAACAAAGCAAAAAAAACATAACATGTGTTTTCAGCTTTTGGTTTTGGACTTTAGTTTTTAGATTTGGTTTTTGGTTTTGCTTTACATTTCTTTAATCAGTAAATTATTTAAGAAAAATAAAACAATAAATTATTTAAAAATTACCATTGAAATTTATCAAAACAAAGTGATTGTTATTTAAAATAAAAAAATATATTAACATGTTTTTAAGTACATGATTTAAATAAATGATTAATAATAGAAAATTTTGTTTTGTTAAAAATATTAAATACCTTTTGGGTCTGAAAATAATAATTGATTTTTTGATCTTTTAAGGTGAAAAGTTTATTCAATGTTTTTGGAGTTTTTTCTTAATACTAAGCAAAAAAATCAAACTATATAATTTGTTCAAAAAATAAAAGTAAGCCCAAAACTATATTACATAAATAACCACTGGTTTAATTTAAGTATAATTAGTAGATTTCCATATTCCATATTTTGATGATATATATTCTTTTAGAACATTCCATATTTGTAGGAGAAAATATATGTTTTTGGTATACACATAGATACCTGCCGTATTTTGAAGGTAGTTTACATTAAGGTTGTCTCTTTACATTAATTGTGTTGGTTTAATTTAAGTAATACGGTTCAATCAATTATATGACTTATATTATTTGTAACATTTTAGAAATGGTCTAAATTTAAATGACAACTTGTATCAGTAGATAAAAATAATGACTCTATTTTAATAGAGTAGATTTTGCTTAGTTGTCATGTTCTCCATAAATTTAGATAATTTTATTTATTTATCATATTTTGCTTAAAAGTTTTATATTAAAAGTATCAGATTTTACGAAAATAAGATACTTCTTATGTATTATGTTGTTGTCTTGAAAATACATTTTTCTATTAAAAATTTAAAATTAAGATAAAAAGTTGTAGTTATTCTATAATTAAAATTAATTTACACTAATAATATTATACTTTTAAAAAATAAGGTAATTTTTATGTATTATGTTGTCATCTTGAAAATATATTACAACAAATTTAAGTACAACAAAAGTTTGTGCAGTAAAATCTACCGTAACAATTTTATAGCTAATTTTTTAGTGCCATAGTCGAACACCGAGAGTCATTGGTGAAAACATAATTAGAAACAATAGATAGGCCTTATTGGGCCCATTGGGTCTGTCCAAAACATATGACCCAATTCAACCTGAGGATGGTCTGAGAAAACGCCGTCGCTCGCTTCATCATGTTCAGCGGTGGTGCCCGGCGGAATCTCTAACCCTACACGGCCATAGTCAATCTCAAAATCCAACACTTGTCACTCCTTAACCTAAAACCCTCTATGCTGGTGACAAAATCAGGTACCTTTCTTCGGAATTGAAAACCTTAGATGGATGATAGTGAAGAAGACGAAACCGGATACCCAAACAAGTTTCACCCTCTGAATCTACAAACCCATCCTATGTATACCCGACCCCCCATTCCCAAACGCCACGCGTATTACCACCACGAAGAAGAAGACGAGATCGAAGAGTACCATCGTGGGAACGAGAAGAGGCTTAAACCGGTTTCTGGGTACGAATTCTCCGACACGAATGTTGAGCAAGAAGCGTTCGTGTTGTTGGAAGTGTGGGGAGACAGGTTCTTGCAATTGGGTCGGAGGAATTTGAGGAACGAAGATTGGAACGAAGTCGCGGAGAAAGTCAGCGAAGAGCTTGGGTCGGAGAGATCAGATACTCAGTGTCGGAGAATGGTTGATAACTTGAAGAGGAAGTATAAGAAAGAGAGGGCCAAGCTTGACAAGTCTGGTTTGGGTTCCACGAGGAGCAAGTGGTCGTTTTTCAACAAGTTGGATATGTTGTTTTTGGGTTTTTCAGCGGCTAAACCGGAGTTTGGTTTAGCTTGTGGTGTTGATTCGGGAGAGTTTGTGTTTATGAACACTAAGGTTTATTTGGATAAGTCTAATGGGTTTGATGAGATGATGGATAGTCCTGGTGACTCAGAAGAGGATGATGACGGGGAGGAGATTGAGTATGAGAGTGAGAGGAGAAAGAAGGGGGATGATGCGGCGTCGTTTAAGCTGTTGGCGGATTCAGTTGAGAGGTTTGGGAAGGTTTATGAGAAGATGGAGAAGAGTAAGAAAGAGCAGATGAAGGAGTTGGAGAAGATGAGGGGTGATTTTCAGAGAGATTTGGAGTTTCAGAAGAAACAAATTGTGGAGAGAGCTCAGACTGAGATCGCTAGGCTACGTGAAGAAGAGCATCATCATCATCATCATCATGATGGTGGTGAGAGTGAAAATGAGGGAATGGAGAATGATTCTGATGTGAATCTCAGTGATTGAATAATTTAATGACTAGGTTGGTTTGTTTGTTTATTAGATTCGAGAAATGTTCTGTTTTTATTTTGATATATAACTTGTGTTTGGTGGTTACAACTTACAAGTGTTATTTATATGGATTAGTAAAGGTGGTGGGTCTAAACAGGTGGAAGGGAGGGTTTCCTCAAACCCAAAACAGAGTACCAAACCTTAGAGCTTTATGGATCAAGAACTAATATCAGAAGTGTGCTGGGATGGTGTGGTGTTTGATTGGTGTTTTGTTTTCCTTTTTCTGTTGGTTATGTTTGCATTTCTAGTGTTATCTCATGATAAGGTTGTGGCCTTGAATAAAAATTTCTTATTTGGTTATGGCTTCTGGGTTCTTTATTTTGTGGACGTATTTCGTTGTCATCAGTCTTGGCTTCCTTAAGTTTGTTACATGGTCCTTAATATTGGTGATGTTGCAGAGCCATTGGGAAATAAAGAAGATATGGGAGCTTTAGGGACTTCTATGGAGGATATGGAGACTATATGTTTGACGGGTGCTTACGGTTTGTGGGTGCCTTTCACCGGAACGGAGCTTCCCTCTCTTGGCTGATCTCTTCAAATCAGTTTTTGAGTCAACAGTGGTGCTTTTATGGACCGGGATGTGGAAATTTCCCTCTCTTGGGGAGGAACAATATTGTTTTTTCGTTACATGTATTACGGATTATCGTTTTGGTTTTCTCGGATAGTACACTATCAGGAATAATAATATATTATTTAGGTCTTGCTCCAAATCAGGTAGCTTGGAGTCAATATGTGTCAAGTGGAGGATCCAGGCACAGGTTTTGCCATAATAATGCTCTGACGCATAAAAATGTATTTCAACATTTTGTTAAATTCATCCGATGGTTAAGGAAGAGGGTTTATGGAAAAACTAAATATCTTAATCCCCTTCTTATTATTTGAGGAGAACTTTTGAAAATAAACTTTTACTTCCTGTGTTTATTACAAGCATGTGTTTATTACAAGCATGTCATTTCCTACGGGGCAACTCCACAAGCCTTCTCACCCCTTTTAGCTAAAAAACTTTAGTTAACTAGAGTAATTACACAACATGCCATTGATATAAATATACATATATGATATAACAATAAATACATGCATATAGAAGGCGGACTACATGTTTATCTACTCGGCATATAATTAAATTTCCCTATATAATGATTTTGTTACATGTTTTGTACGATATATTTTATGTATATCATTCTCCACGTATTGTAAATGTAAAACATGCATATATAATGATTTTGGTACATGTTATTGTACGATTTATTCAAATTCAAAATATATTTCGTTACATAAGTATAAATAAAAATCGGAAATTTTTGTACCTTATTTCATAATTCATTACTGTCTATTGGGCATATATTTAAATTTAAAATTTAATATTTTATATTTTATAAAATCGAACTTTATATTTTATATTTCGACAATACGTTTTTGATCTTATAATCGAATTTTATATTTTATATTTCGTGTCTCATCAGAAAATTAAGAGAGTTTCAGTTTCCTTTATATGCATTTGTAGTATTAGTACAAAATACAATTATCTTCAATCTTCAATTAAAATTAATGACCGAATCTGCATGCGTATTTCAGTTTCCCTTATATGCACGAACCATTGATGTTACTGTATTCGAATATTGAATGAATATATTTCAATTTTTATAATACAATAATTATCAATTAGAATACATATGGTTATTTTATATACGTATCAATTTTTTTTTTATCTTTTTACAGTTGTTAACTATAGAAAATCAGTATAGTATTTATAGCGAATTTTTATTGCCAGTAACAACTTGCATAGATTTTTCACCAAGTTTAACATCTCGATGTCTACTTTCACCTACGTTACAGAGCTCGAACCTTACAAGGTAATATGGGTGAAAGAACGGTATTGTAAAGTAGTCGAGATTTCCTCACTTATACTTTCGGGAGGAGGATATCGGAAAAAGAAAGATGAAAACATATATGATTTCATAGACTGTACCCCTATCCAACTAAGTGATTTTTGGCGACACCCACTCACCTATTTCCACACAGTAGAATTCCCGGTATTTTTGGAAGGTAAGTACTGACTACTTTTATGTTTTCATTTTTGTAAATGAATTGTGTATTTATTATTTTCGATAATTATTACTAACATATTAAGAACTGATTCTAGGCATTCGTTCTTTCTAACATTATAAGCCTCTTTCGAAATGTCATTCAAAAATGCAACTTGGAGCTACGGTATCAATAGTATATTTTTCTTATTTCTTAAATGATAAATTATAAAAATAGTATCAAACTGTATGGCTAAATTTTTCTGCATCTGGTTACCTGCAGTGATGATCGCCTCGCAGTACATATGTGTTCTGTCATATACCCTTATTCGCAGGGTAATTCAAGCAGAAGCTTTTCTAAATTTCAAAGGCCTTTGATCGAATGGTGTCAACAACATAATCAAGGGGAAAATCTGTCTTATTTAGAGACACCAAGAAGGTTTATATATGAAGTCAACGGAAAAGCTTGGAAAAAACTTCATTATGAAGAAAAAGCAAAACGTTTGTCTTTTATCTTCATGGTCGAAACTGGTATATTGTTAAGCACGGCTATGTAGACCCTAGAGAATATATGGTCTCTGTTTTTGCGTTGACATAATTATGGAACCTGCTATGAAACCTTACAAGCTGTTTTATTCTGGCTGTTACGTTTTTTATTGATTTTACCTTTTTCATTATATTTGAACCATGTTTCTTTATTTATGATTATAAAATTTTAAGAGACGTAGTCTCATACCTAATAAAGGATACTTCTCATTAGCTTATTCCATTTTGTTATTCATCAAAGTTCGATTATGATGATTCAGTCAACTCTTTTTGGTAACTACAATTTTTTCGATATAATTTTAGTACAAAGGTGATATTTCTCAAAATCTACATAACATATATTTCTCTGTAATACCAAGTATATGAATAATTAAAAAATTATAAATATATATATTAACATAATTTCATTTCCTATATTTATATCATTGTTTTGTTCATTAGATAACATATTATAGAATCGAATTTGGCCAAAAGTAAATGAAATGTAAAATAAGTAAGAGATTATTTGCTAAAGGAAAAAAAAAACATATTCGATAATTTGTTATAAGAGGTTCTTAGGACACAATTATTAAAGATATTATTAAATATATAATTGCTAAACTATTAGGTAAACATTTTTTAAAATCAGCTCCTGATTTTCACACATAACTTTCCCGAATTAATATGCAATGAAATATATGTTTCTTTATTTGGAAATATAACATTTAATGTAACTTCCCAAAAACAATATTTCGTTGATGAAGAAAGCAATATTTCAACACACTGATTAATGAGAAAAATACCTTAATTAGGTCTATCAAATCTGCTAGAAACGAGAATTTCCCAATTCAAAATGACACATCAAGTGACCAATAACTATATTGTATTTAGAACTGATACTCGGCTTACAGATGAGAGTATTCTAGGATTAGCATCTCAATATGGATTCAAAGAAGAAAAAAACAGGAATCAAAGATGTCGCTGCCAATAATACTGAAAAAAGAAGGAGAGAAGGTAGAAGTATTCATATTTTATTATTCATTTATCCGTGTACAAATCTGAGTGTGAAGATAAGAGGAAGACGATCATTTCTCATTGATATTAAATTTGTTCTACGTGTGTGCAGACACACAAGTAGTATTTCAGCCGCCTGTCTTAACAATCTCTGGCATGTCAATAGACAATCCTTCCCCACTTCAGAAGACCAATATACTGGATGATATATCAAATTCGAGTACTAACCATACAAAAGATGCAAGAACCCAAAGGCTCAGCTTATTGCGCCAGAAAATAAAATTTCCTGAAACTATTTCATCTACAAACAATCTTACTGAAAACGATTTCCATGCATCCACGCAGACGAGTATTATTTCAGATGGAAAAGAGAACATATCTCCCTTTCAAACTCAAAGTACGTTGCTTTCAGACGAGTATAATTTATATTTTTTTCAGATGGAAAAGAGAACATATCTCCCTTTATTTTTCAAAGTACGTTACTTTTTGTTTTTCTATTTAACCTCTACTATTAACATATTCATTATTATGATTTTCTAACTCGCAGACAATACAATGACCAATTTCTCACTTACTGGGTTACCCCCTAACAAAAGGAGAAATTCCCAAAAGGGAAGATCTCAGACAGTGAAGAAACCAGTGGGTAGGCCGTGTATTCCTATCCCCATATCTTCAATATCCAACCAAGTTCGGACTACTAAAGTTATTCATGGTAGTGGTTCATACACGAGTCCCCCCGTCAACAAGAACAATAAACAGAGTACCATTGTTGATAGCAATGAAGAACCTTTAAGTGGAATATCGTTTCATGGAACTGGTTAGTACTTCGCTTTGCGTAGTTATTGGTTTTTTTATACATATAATTATTAGTACTTTTTGTTGCCCAACTTATTGATTATGTGAAGTACGTATATACATGGGAATGAATCTAGGTTCCATGCATCCACTACGCACCAATATTCCTGTTCTCAAACCGTCACAGAACTCTCTTGATGAGTTTTCAGATGTTAGTCAGCGCAGTGGACATGTTAGCGTTGATACTGAACCACAATACTAATGTCTCTCACACTGTATTTAGTGCGAGTAACCGTTCAGCTGTGAAACCTATTATTTTATATTTTGACTCTGATTCATCAGGTTAGTGCTACTTTTTACGATATTTAATCACGGCCTCAATAATGTGTTGAAAAATTTAAACATAATAATTAATGGGTTTCTATTTTTTTTTGCCTGATAGACTCTGACGACTTCTGAGATTGTTCTAGCAACGAAGATAATGCGGTGGAGAGAGAATCTGATCCCAATTCTGAAGATGAACATCCCGTTGATCGCAGTCGTGAGGCATACACCAAGCGTGTAGCAAGCTGTTTTGCACAATTTTTTGGTGACCTA